TTACTAGAAAAATAGAGGAATCCAAAAAAGTCACTACTGGATAAGTCACAAGTATGGATTCAAGTGATATGAACATTAGTTTATATCCACTTCCCACAAGAGATGACGATGAAAGTGATGACGTACTTCCCTAGGTTGAATATTCGGAGCTAATCAGATACTTCATTGAGATTCCCTTGAGGAATGGCCCTTTGAAAGTCATCAAAAAAATGATTTAATTGTTCCGAAGAGGTAAATAACCAACTTACGAAATGTTTACATACTAACATTTTTCTGTGTGAGAACAAGATAAAGATCGAGACGAGGTAACTTGAATATCCGGTAATGGTGGATCTTTGGTTTTGACGTGGTGAAAGAACTAACCTGCAAGGTTAGCACTCTAACACTCAAGTTAGTATATGAAGTGAATAGGAAAATTTTAAATATGAGTGAAGGGCGCGCTTTGCTTCCTTTTATAGAGGTGTTTGTTTGTAACTAAAGTGTGGATGGAGTTTGAAAAATGCAGATGATCGAAGGATGGATCTAACGAGTCTCATCGCTTTGTCCCCCTAACGACATCAATAATCATTTGATCCATATTTGCTACATTTAGTTTCTCTTGAGTATCGATCTCTTCTCTCTACTGGGCCTTTTATGTCAGTTTAACATAGTTTCTCCCAAGCCCTTGACTTTGTTGCAAAAAGAGGAAACGTTTTGCAATTGCTAGAGTTGCATGTTGAAGGGAGACGTAATAACTAACCTGTGCCCCATACTCTGATCATTCACACAATTAACCTAGGGTGTTATAATGTCACCTCAACGATTATAAGGATATCTAGACCATTGTTACTGGGGTACAATCGTATGGCTTTAATTTATTTTGGGAAGTTAAATGGGTTACCGAAAGAACTTCATTACTTTTGCCCTCTTGAACATTTGACTTTATGGAAAGTTTTCTTTTTCTCCCTTTTTGTCTTGAATATTCTGGGTGTGTGACCTAACTATATATCTGAAGAAGTTTCCCTTTCCAACTTGGTTTGTTTGTGTTGATTTCTTACTCATACTTTGAGACTTAGATTTTCAGTTTTTATCTTTTCTCTTTCTTTCTTGATGCTTTTAGGGTTTTCCTTTACTTTAGAGCTCATCCGCCTAACTTATAATTTTATGTGTTTGATATTTAATGCCAACATGACCATTTCTTATATGTAAACTAAGAGATTTTTTAAAGACATTTCTAGAGTGTGAGTAAGTTCAGACATCTCAAGTAATGTCTCTTTCTTCTTTCGCAAAATGTCTTTTCTCAAGCAGTGTTAGGTGATGTACAGATTGTTAATTCCCCATGCCATTACTTAGGGTCTCTTATCCCTAGTTAAACAACGTAAATAGAACAGTTGCCCTAGGTCTAACATATAAGCTATGGGTCAGAAATTCTTATGTGTCCAATATCAGATTAACAAAGTATCTTAAATAAAAAGCATGAAGCAGAAGCAACAATTGAATAAAATTATAATTCAAAGGATTCATACAAATTCAAACCAACATATAATGCCAACAAGATTGAATAAGATTCATCATCACAAAACCTAACCTAAGAGAATTTAGCTACACGTTATTCAGAAATTAATATCACAATGGATTTGGGATGGCAAAACGGGTTGTGGCCCACCGAGCCGGCCAGCACATCCGTCAAAAAATGGCGGGTTGGGTTGAGATTTTGTGTCCTCATACCCGCCTAGCCTAAAGCCCGCCAAAAAAAGGGGTGGGTTGACCCGCCAGCCCGTTAATGTAGTTATCAAGCACTAAAATCAGTTTTTGTTGGTTGAAGGTTAATATTTAAACTATATTTTGGAATACTTGATGATAATTCTATTTTATACATTTATTTTTGAATATATGCAGTATTTTTTAAAGTAAAATTTCTTTAAAATATGCTTTATAAAAAGTTTTTCTAAAAAATGAGTGAAAAATCAAATTGAAATGTAAGAATAAGTCTATTAATATATTTAAAAAATAATAAATAAATAAATAAATAGTCTGGAAAGCCCTCCGCCCGCCAACCCGCCACTTTAGCGGAGCGTGCTAGATTTTTAAGCCCATTTTTACTTACAAGCATTATCGCTGATAGACATGATAGACTGAGGCACATGATAAATTCACAACATGCATCAGTGTGGAAGGATAAGAGTAAGGTTTTGGTGGCTTTTGTTTACTATGGCCATGTAGAGACATCTACTTCTAGGGCTCATGCTTCTCCATTTTTTCCTTCCATAGAAGACGAGTTTTACCTACTAATCACTCCCTTCATCCTCCAACAGATGCCAAGTTTCACCTATTTGGGTGTCAGACGTACTCGAGTCACCGGTTTTACCGCAGACACCAATGCCACATTCGACAGATGCTTCTGAGCCAGTGCATCCTTCGGCTGCTGATGTTATTGAGCTAGTGCCACCTCTAGATGGTGAGGCTACTGAGGATGATTAGCCACTTCAGGAATTTGAAGGAGGCCTTATAGACTTGCCACTACTACCTTTGTACCCAAACCATATTACCAGACATATTTGGGACAGAGAGGTGACATTAGTTGGATTTATTATTTTTAACTTATGTTTATTATTATAATAGAAGTTTCTGACATTGATTTATTTTTCTGTAGAACCGTGATCCGCTGAAGTTTATTAACAACATGTCGAAGATTGTTGGCTTACCTCAGTTGAATGGGGAGTGGTTTTAGGCAGCTTTGTCCCTATTAGATATGAAATACTTGTGCGTGATCGATTATATTACGATCAACAATGAGAGGCTTAATGCATTTGTGGAGATATGGCACGCCGAGATTTGGTTATTTCATCTCCCACTTGGTGAGATGTCTATCACACTCGATGATGTGTCGTGTTTGCTGCATCTTCTGATCAGGGGAGAACTTCATGATCATGAGAGGATTAGCAAAGACGAGGCACTCGAGTTGATGGTAAAATATTTAGGATTGACCCTGAGGTTGTAATGAAGGAGATGGAGAGAACCAAATGGGCTCATGCTAGGTTTGAATTCCTCAAAGAGGTATATACAGATGATCTCGTTAAAGCACAGAATGCTAAAGGAGATGATAAGCAAATGGGGCTTCATAGAGCGTATGCTATGAGAGCATACCTACTATATTTAGTTGGCACTGCAATTTTTTTGGATAAGAGTTTCACTTATAAAAATGTTGTCTACTTATGGTACTTTGAGAACTTCGACCGGATCCATGAGTACAGCTAGGGACCACTTGTTTGGTCTTCTTGTACTTGTAGTTATCAGAGGGATGTAGGTTGAAGAGAACATATCACAACCAGAATCACACTATTAACAGTAATATTTATTGGTCTTTTAATCTTTCTGTGTCATTTTGATTGCATCTTTGCAATGCCCTTATTGATGAATCGTGTGTTCCAAACTTTTTAGGCTTGGATCCTCTGGCACTTCTCGCGCATCTTTGGTTGGGTGGATGCACCGACTTATATTGAGGATATGTCGCGTGCTACTGCATTTTCCTCGCTCAGAAGATACCAGACGACAAACCCGTTCAGAGTGTATCTTGATCCCTTGTTTGCCAATGACATACACTTCAACAACTAAGTGGATCAACGTGAAACGCGACCATTTAACGAGATAGTTCTATACTCTATATGGTTGGCTTGCGGATCACGTCTCACTGCTCCTCATCTGGACGAGCGCGTGATGTGACAGTTCTGCTACATTCAAACCATTCCGAAACACCCTATTGTCTTTCCTCCTCATGCTTTGACACGTAGGCAGACGGATGCCATGTTTGATGGTTATGAGACTCATCTATTACCAGAGAAGGCACGAAGTACCATAGCTGAGAGCGACTAGAACTATGTCGACGGATACATCAGGTGGTTCTTTTGGGTGTCACATATGTATATGGTGCATGTTACTCTAGGAGATCCACCGAGACTAGCTCATAAGAAGATACTAGAGGAGGAGCATGCACAATTAGACCACGCTAAAGATGTCTTGCCTAAATGTTGTCGCATTGTGGAAATTGCGCGGGCATGCATTGACAGAGGTATCTTCCCTGTTGCGTTAATTTGAGGCATGTCCTAGATTCCATCATGACGGAGGCATGAAGGCATTGATGTACCGGAGACAGCGCCGAAGGACGAGGGGTATTGAAGGTCGAGGAGGCAGAGGATATATAGTCTGACATACACAGTAGTCTAATAGTATATAGTAATTGTACTTTGGGTTCATTATGGATTGCATTTTATTTTCACTTCATGCTACTTTATCGTGTATTTCGACTTTATTTATATATGTCATTTTTGGACCATCTAGATTTATATACGTCATTTTTTGCATATTGATTGTATGGTTTAAATATCATCACATAACATGTTACATAACGTTTATAAATCCTTATAAATAAAAAATAACATGCACTGTTCTGATATGTTACATAGATGTATCTCCGTAAAATAAAAGGAGATGTATTCCCAGAACAATAAACGTGTAAAATGACTTCAAGGTGAGATGCATGGTATTTGTTTTAAAATATTACAGAGATGAATCTTTAAAATAATAAACATTTAATTTTTAAACAAGATGTATTTGAAGATACATCTTCAAAATCTGAGAGGTATTTTAGATTTTTCATAAAGTGTTTCTCCACCCCATTTCCCATCCCATAGAATAGAAAGAAAAAATCACGTTACTTATACATAAATTTAATATAAAATAATCATACTTTTGATATAGGAAAAAAAAATCACCACAAAGAATAATATCAGCACTATGAAATTGGGTCCAAATCACTAAACCCAATATCTAATAACACAATATGGCCGAACATGTCTTGCAACTTTAAACAATACACTTATAACGATGAAAAAAGAAGAAAAATTATTTCATGACATAATCATAACTGTTTAGTTATTTTATTTTCAAATATAAAATTCACTAAAAATGAGATATATTTATTGGCATGTAACATTAAATAAACAACTAAAATGACACAAAAATCAAAATGGTGCAGAAAGGGGCTCTTTTCCTCCAGCAATACAAAAAGGACTTTCCGTGGAACTTGAACATTGGCATTGGCAAACTTTCTCATAAGGTATAGTCTCTTTCTTCTTTGTGAAATCAATTAATTTCTCATTTTTGCATTTATTTTCATCCATATTTGTCTCCTCCTTTATTGGATGTATAATCCCCTTAAAAAAAAACATAATTATATTCACATATTATCATTTGAAAAAATATTGACGGTTCTATATAAATTATTCTTAACTACAATTTTTGAACAATGTGAAATTATTTTGACCAGCACGAAACATATATCGTACCTCAAAAAACAAAGCGGATGCTTCACTTGGTTCCATCTTTTGTACCACCTCTGCAGCTAGTTCCTACGTGAAACAACAAAATTGATCAATACTAGGATATCTTATAGGAAATTGAGCCACCAAATTAGACCAAATGAGTGAAAGTATTTTGTGAAGAATGATATTATCTACCCTTGCTTGAGTTAGCTCCACTCCACTCAAAGTCCTAGGCTCCAATTCAATAGGACAAGGTGTCTTTGCCATGATTTATTGAGTAACAAAAAAAGCCCATCACAAAGCAATGTCTTTTACAAGTTGATAGATTAATAGCAAATATATATAAGCTATTGAGAACATGAAATTTTCAATATACTCACGGAGTCTTTAGGTCATGGGAAAAAGTTTGTGGCTATAATCAAAGTAAACTTAGATGAGTTTCTTTACATCCCGTGGCTAAATTGAAGACAGTGTTTTTTCAACCATGTTTGTGACTTCTAATACTCTTAATTGATTCACTTTCACATGTCATGACCTTTGTTTATAAAGTCTACTATACTATTGGTTGAATTGTGATTTGTGGCCAAAAATAGGCAAAGGAAAAGGGTGCACACTTGCCATTTAGAGATTGTTAGTTAGAGAAACTTAAATGAGTATGTTAGGCCAGTTTATTATAAATTAAAATAAGAGGAATTTTGATATAAATAATTTAGAGGTTATTAGTTTTTTTTTAATTTTTAAAGTGAAACTATTTTGTATTTGTTTCAAAATGATTATTAAAACGTGGCTTGATTACCTAAAAAAAACTATACAAAAGAATAATTTGATTGTTTGTTTTAGCACACCAAATTAGTCTTGCATTTTTTAGAATCGAAACTAACAATAGTTTATTAATAATATCTACACATCTTAATTTAACGAGACATCTTTTTTAAAAAACACATTTGCAATCTGTTATCAAATTCGAAGCGGATAATACCTCGTAATCGCAGTGACACATACTTGAGTTTCATAGTATTAAACCATGTCTTATGGGGATAGCAACATAGCTAGCACTTTGTCTAATATTGCTCACAATAATTTAATTGATGATACTTTGCTTGATGACACTTTGCAAGAAATTTTATCTAAGTGTCTTTGAGGCAAAATTTTAGTGAAACTTTATGCATATATTTTTACGGCGTCATTAAAGTTTTATTCTTAAGCTTTTATCACTTAAGTATTATATATTGTGAATTGTTCATTTGGAACGGAAGATCAATTCTCTTAATCGATATAAGTACAAAATCTTCTTAACATTATTACGAAAAACATCTATCATAACGGTTGGAAAATAGATACAAACACGTCCGACCAACCGTTATGAGGTACGATGTGATTGTATGTATGATGCTTTACACCACAAGCGTATGACTATTGTGATAAACTGGGTAGTATGCTATATATTACAACGGTCAAAGTATACAACCGTTGTGGTATAATACGAAAGGTAAACCCGGTGATTGTATGGTTTATAATATTTTGTGCTCTATCTAATTGATCACAAATCAACAATGCCGGCAGAGACGATGTTAAACATGTGTTTCATTATATAGTACCCACACTCGTATCCTTCTGCTTGTCATCTCGTCTACAATTTTAAACATTTCATGAATATAATCACACATTTCATAAAATATGTATAAGTGAATTTCACAATTAATCCACTTACCTTGAACTCATAAAATGCGAGCTTTTTCTTAGAGTTGTTCAACATATAGTGTCTCTCCACACCCCTGTATATTGAAAATGATTTTAAAATATTACACGCTAAGATAATTACAAAGTCAAAGAAAATATTACTAAAAGTCTCATAAACATAAAGTTACTTAGAAATAATTTATTGCATCGTAGGTTCAAGTAGATTGTGTAGCGAACACACTGTAGTTACCATATTCATTCAAAGAGATATGATGATCAATTGAAAATGTTCTCTGAATGAACAATACAAATGATAACCCACCTTTTGTGAGTTATCATTAGTCCTATTAATTTCATTTTCTTAATTTATTTATCTTGTTATTAAATTACTTTAGATCATTTTAGTTGTTTTGTAGTGTTTAATGTGTAGCATAATAAGTGCTCCCTTTTGTTGGTTTAATGTTTTTGTTGCTTAAATTAAGGTTGTTTCTGGTGAGCTAAGGCAAGACTGTGTCATACAACACATGAGAGTGTTAACTGATGCAAGAAGATGAAATTCTAACCAAGAAATTGAAATGAAGAAAGCACCTGAGTGCTAGGGAGAGTGTAACAAAATCAGAGTACTATAGGAAAATATGCTTGGGCTGATGGAATTCAATTTGAATTTATGGATAAGATCAAGGAGGCACTAGAAGAAAAAAATAGTACAATTATACAACCACCACTCTTCGCAGTCTTTCAAAAAGGACATCGCCGCCTGCTCCCTACTGTAGCAGTCTGCACCAGGATGCTTTGTCTCCCACAAATGTTCCTCGTGTACTTGATTTCTAGTTAGCTAAGCAGAAGAATATTGAGGACAACACTGATTTAATTTATTGGGATTGATGTGATTTCCTTAACATTGGCCCATGATCCAAGGTCTTCAAGAAACTCTAGATGAAGGTTATAAATAGACCATGCTGAAGATTAGAAAAAGAATTCACCATTCCAAGAATACCAGATAGAGCGTAATAGTGTGAGGTTAGTGGAGATAAAGTGAGTTATTCTTCTCACCACATCTGGTTCCAACTACAGAGTCTTGGCGCGACTGAAGTCATCCCTGGTTGAGTATCTCTCAATTAAGAAGTCTTTTGGTTACTCTTAGGTTTATATTTATTTTTCACTATTTGTTTAAGAATGTATCTTTTGAGAACCATGTTGGTAGTTTATACTCAACTGATTATGAGCTAAACCTTTTGTATGATGAACAATGGAAAATCAATGTTATAATGTTTTTATGTTAAATGGAGTGTTGTTTAGTGTCTTGTTTCATTATGTGCTAGCATGCTTACAAATCTGGTTCTAGGAGTGATCAACTTAGAAAAAGGTAAAAGCTTGTTATTCTGAGAGATCTAACAATAAGTGGACTTCATAATAAAAGTAGTTAAAAAGACTATAATAGATATATTCACTTGATTAGTTCATATAGAGATAAGGAACTACAAATATAAAGAATTTCAAAATATAATAGACGAATTTTAGGGTTATAAGTGTGGCTTAGAGATTTGTTCCCTTGCCCTAACAATACATGTTTTGATGTTGTAAAAATACACCTTTGGACCACTCTGACCTTTCCTGACACGAAACTACACTTCCTAAAAATATTATTGCATCATATTCATTAATGGTCCTTAGCTCAACATGCATTCTCTTCATATTATTTCAAACCTAGAACTACTCATTGATTTGATATGTTGTGGAAATATTGAACTTGTGATTACCAACTATTATTTTTATCCTTGCTCATGCTTAAATATCAAAAGATAAATCAATGTAAAATCATCTTTAGTAACTTTCACTATCTATGGGTACGATATCCTTAACTTTTATCACTTGTTACTTTTAAACATACATGTATATTTGCATGTGACACATTTTCAAGCAACAACAAGCATATATAATTAGTATTTGGTAAAACATAAAAACTAACTATAATAGAGAAACTATAGTTTTAAAATTACTCACTTATTGAGGAATGATGTTAAGTAACATTCTCTTCGCCCTCGCTCTGTCCATGATATTAAGTATTCTTCAATATTTTTTGGAGTATTACTTGATCTAAGAATCCATTAGCATTTGATTTATTTAATTTTATACAAACACGGTGAATGTACCTAAACGGTTAAACAAAATACAAAAAACACCTGAGAAATTAGTTTTATACAAAACAATGAATGTACCATAATAAGATATACTTACGTGCATCAAACTTGTACTAACCCTACATCGAGCCACCAATTTCCAGTGATCATATCCTTTATATCTTTAGGAATGATCATGAATTCCTGTAACCCCTGTATCTCTATATTATATTCTAGTGTAAGAGTAAACACCATGTCTTCGTTGCGTATAACGTGACATAACATTTTGTCATATGATCCTTCAAGGGGAGCCAATAACCCATTTTAGATCTTGTTATCGATGGAGGCGATTGAACAACTGTCTTTTGTGTTTGCGCCACGTACAACATTTCTATCAGGCAATTGATCATCAGTATCATGATCTTCATTTGTACATTGTGGGTTTGTTCCACTGATTCTCTACATCATAAAAAACATAGGAACACAAAACACAATTAACATAATATATATCATACATTTCAGATATCACAACATTCTCAAATACCACATATAACTCTTTTATTTCTTCCAATTCTTTCCTGCGAGTTTCCCGCTCCACTTCTAACTTCTCTTCAAATTCTTTCTTTTAAATACTTATCTTCCTTTCGAACTCTTCCAAGGTTTCTTTTTGCATAAGTTTGATGCTTTTTCTAGACGAACAAAAAATGCTCTCAAGCCGATGTCATCTCCAACCCCACATACACGCCCACCATGCTCATTTGCTTCAATTATTTCTATTAATATATCATGTTATGGTTCTGGAACAGCGGAACCTTCACAAGCTGAGTTGACTAATGAATCCTACACAACATGATAATACATACATTGTTAATTACCAAAGAAATTTAAATAACACTTAACATATGTACAATAAGTCCTACTTACAATTTTACATGCTTCTTATCTTGAGGCATCTAAAGTGTAGTCTCCATTTAGTCTTCGTCAAGTCCTCTTCCACTTCTCATGTCGTGATGGTAAAGATTTTTCCTAATCACGACTAATGGAGTCCTCATCTCCCAGTTGTTGTCTTTTTTAGTAATCATTATTTTCTCAAGTTTCCTGTATCCCCATGAAACAATCTATGTGGTATTTGTTTTTAGACTTGTTCAACTTTCCAGCTTCACTTTTAACCTATTTTAAACACAGGAAAAATATTAAAAATATTAACGTCCATGGTTGTATCCATAAAATTATCAAAAAATTACAACTGATACTAACCATGAACTCCTCAGAACTACGAGACTTCACAAACTTCTTCCAAACCTTTTTCAAGATAAGGATATTTCACCCACAGACGCTCAATATTAGGCTTAGGATTCATAATGTAGTCACTCGTGAGTCGTGACTTAAAACTCCTCTAAGTCGTACAAACATAAGTGATCCATTTTTTTTCAACTTCGAATCATCACTAAACTCAAACGTCAACTA